ACATACAAGCAAATGAATATGGTGAAGAATTGGCACAACTTTGTTATTTTTCTTTCTTTATTTTTTTTAAATTGAAGGTAGAAAGAGGGCAAGGAATGGCAGGAATGGGTAAATTAATAAGAATGAGGGAGTAAGAAAAGAAAGGAAGGGAAAGAGGAATAATCACTATAATAGACATAGTCAGTAGACAGTGTTTTGTAGGCATTACAGCAGAGGTGAGTTTTAAGAAGGGAATTGGAAAATAAGGCAGGGGATGAATGAATTATAAGAACATAAGACCTGCTATACTGGATCCATCTAATCCAGTATCCTATCTTCAGACAGTAGCCAGTGCCAGATGCTTGAGAGGGAATGAACAGAATAGGACAGTTACTGAGTAATCCAACCCACCATCCAGTCACAGCTTCTGGCAGTCACATGCTTAGGGACACCCAGAGCACGGGATACTGTCCCTGACCATCTTGGCTAACAGCCATTGATGGACCTATACCCCATGAACTTATCTAGTTCTTTTTTGAACCCAGTTACACTTTTCTCCTTCACAGCATCCCCTGCCAATGAGTTCTTCTGTACTTTGTGTGAAGAAGTAGATGTTTTCAGAGAACTATTCACTATTACTCCAAGATCTCTTTCTTGAGTGATAACAGCTAATTTAGACCCCATCATTTTGCATGTATAGCTGGGATTATGTTTTTCAGTGTGCATTACTTTGCATTTATGGAATTCCAGCTGCCATTTTGTTGTCCAGTCACACAATTTAGTGAGATCCCTTTGTAACTTTTCAAAATCATCTTTGGGCTTAACTTTTTCTTGAGTAATTTTGTATCAACTGCAAACATTGTCTTGCATCTGAAGAAGTGAGGTTCTTACCCACGAAAGCTTATGCTCCCAATACTTCTGTTAGTCTTAAAGGTGCCACAGGACCCTCTGTTGCTTATTGCCAGCTCATTGCTTACTCCTTTTTCCATATGGTTTTATGAATATGTTGAACAGCACTGGTTCCTGTACAGATCCTTGGGAGACTCTGCTATTTGCCTCTCTCCACTGTGAAAGCAGACCATTTATTCCTACTCTTTGTTTCCTAGCTTTTAACCAGAACCTTCCCTCTTATGCCACGACTGCTTACTTTGCTTAACAGCCTTTGGTGTTGACCTTGTCAAAGGCTTTCTGAAAGTCCAAGTACAACTATACCAACTGAATCACCCTGTCCATATTTATCGATACCCTCAAAGAATTCTAATAGATAGGTGAAGCATACTTTCCCTTTAGAAAAGCAGAATTGACTCTTCCCCAACATATCATATCCATCTATGTGTCTGATAATTCTGTTCTTTACCACAGTTTCAACCAATTTGCCAGGTACTGAAGTTAGGCTTACTGGCCTGTAATTGCCAGGATCACCTCTGGAGTTAAAAAAAAAAGAAATCAACTCTACATTAGCTACCTTCCAGTCACTTGGTACAGAGACTGATTTAAGCAATAGTGAATACCATCTGGTCCTGGTGACTTATTACTGTTTATCAATTTGTTCCATATCCTCCCCTATTAACACCTCAATCTGGGACAGTTCCTCAGATTTGCCACCTAAAGACCATGGCTTAGATTGAGAATGTCCCTCACATCCTCTGCAGTGAAGACCGATACAAAGAATTAATTTGCCTGGTCTTCCTTGAGTGCTCCTTTAGCACCTTAATTGTCCAGTGGTCCCACTGATTATTTGGCAGATTTCTTGTTTCTGATGCACTTAGTTTTTGTGTCTTTTACTAGTTTCTCTACAAATGCTTTTTTGCCCTGCCTAGTTATACTTTTACACTTGACTTGCGCCAGAGTTTATGTTCCTTTCTATTTTCCTCAAAAGGACTTTACTTCCACTTTTTAATTGATGTGTTTTTGTCTCTAACTGCCTCTTTTACTCTGTTGTTTAGCCATTGTTTCTTTTTTTTATCCTCTTATTGTTTTTTTGGTGGCGGTATACATTTAGTTTCTATTATGCTGTTTTTTAAAAAGTTTCAATGCAGCTTGTAGGCATTTCACTCTTGTGACTGTACCTTTTAATTTCCATTTAACTAGCTTCCTCATGTTTGTGTAATGCCCTTTCTTGAAGTTAAAAGTTATTGTGGTGAGTTTATTTGGAATTTTCTCCCCTACAGGAATGTTAAATTTAATTATATCAGGGACTTTTCCTTCTGCATAAAGGGCAAAATAGAAGAAAGTGCAAAGGTGTTTGAAAATGAAGCTGACTGGTGGATACTAAAGGCTGAGAACATTGCAGAAATAAAGGCAGGGGCTGGCATCATGATAAGTTATTAAAGGAGCATTGTTGAATGGGGTGAAGGGTTTAAAAGGTGAAGACAAAGAGGTGAAATCCTGACCCTATTGAGATCAATGGCAAAACTCCCATTGACTTCAGTGGGGACAAGATTTAACTCAAAAAGCTTAAGTTTGGTATGGAGATGAAAAGGGAGGCGCTGATGGCATGAGGTGGGCAGAGCAATGAGCCATGCAGATGATCTTGGCAGCAGCATTTTGAGTGAACTTGAGGGGGGCAAAGATGCAGTAGTCCAAGCCAGATAGGAGGAGGTTACAATAGTCAAAAGATGAAATGAGGACAATTTGGAAGAGAGTTTTAGCTGTTTGCAGAGATGGAAGGCTGGATTTTAGAGGTATTGTGTAGGAAGTAGCAACATGTTTTAGACACGGCCTGAATGTGTGGGCCTGGGATGGCAGTCAAAGATGATACCCAGGTTGTGCGCACGAGTAACTTGGAGGAGATGGAGGTGCATGCCGAGACAGAGAAAGGAGATGGTATAGGGGAGGCAGGAAAGGGACTGTGGAGAGACTCCAAAGATGGCTGGAAATGTAGGTATCGGATTCACTGAAGAAGGAGAAGTAGAGCTAAGAAGATGGCACAATTAAATGAAGAAAGAGTGAATTTGTAATGGAGACAATCAGCATGATCAGGAGACTTCTGTCAGACACACAGCACAAGAACAAGAGCTGAGACAGTGAAGTCAGTGGAACTATACTGATTTATTCCAGCTGAAGATTGGCCCTGTGTATCTATTTGCGTGTTAATAGTAGACTCTATTCTGTAGTCCTTATTCAGGAAAAAACTCCTAATTAAATTTAGTGTAGATGGTCCAGGCCTCTGGTTGATGGTCCAGGATCTTGGGGGATCCACAACTATAGAGGTAGATGGTCCCAATCCACCTTTGATACAAGAATAATGAAGAAACTCCAAGAAATGCAAACATGGCATTTCCAGTCCCCATGCATAGAAATAAATGTAACAGAGACACAGAGGGTGGAGAGGGGAGGTATTTTTTAATGGGTAGGAATTTCAAAAGCTCCTAAGTATGTTAGACACCTCACTCTCATTGAAAGTCAATGTAAATTAGGCACCTAATTCATTTTGGTGTTTTTCAAAATCCCATTTATAGACTTCAATGGGACCTGGAGCAGACTAACTCCAGTAGTTTACATTTAATTACATTAATATGAGTTGATTGTGAGTTTTATTTAAGTTAGCACTACAGTATTAGGCCCTCTCTGTGTATTGCTACTGGGAGGTATTTATAGACAGAAGTCACCCGGAAAAAAACAAACAAGAAAAAAACAATGTTACCAGTTCTAGACCACCAATGCATGTGGGAACCAGTATTTTACTTCCAAATACACTCCATCAGGCATTTATAAAAGCATCCATCAACATGGCAGCCAGCCACAGATATAAACTTCAAAACAATGCATACATTTTTGGGACACCAATTAAGCAAAAGTCATCCAGGTAGAGATGCATAAGCAGTATAATTGTTTTGCCCATCAGTATACTTATTTATGGTCCCTATCATCCATTATGGAAAGCTGAACAGCACTAGAGTTGATCAATAATTAATAGTGGCAAGAACAGAAGGCAGCTTATTGTAAAGTATTATTAAAACCTTTGAAATACAGAAATTATTTGAATTGTTCTTCTTAATTCCTAAATGCTGAATAAGATTAATTGATAATTGAAATAAAAAAAGTCTGGAAAACAGACAGAAAATGGATTTTCCCCCTCATAATGAATCCCTGCATTATCCAAAAGAATGTTGCCTCATTACATGTAGCAGAAAATTGAGAAAATACAAGGTAGAAAATTACATGTCTACAGTACAGTTTCAGAATAAGAACAATTCCATAATAATGAAGGCTAGAACAGCTATGATTTTGCCATTATTTAAAATGGCATTAGCTTTGATCTCAGTAAGACAGACATTTGTTTTAAAATGTACCTCGTTTTTTTCTTTGAGTATCTACATTTGTGCTTCAATTATCTTTATTCTAATTATTTGTTCATTAGTGTTTTGTATGGGGCAACTAGTATGTTAGATCAATACAACAAAATACTAACGAAAGGTCACATCCATCTTTTCAGCAGTACATTTTCTGACCTTTTCTGGGTATAAAACATAGCAGTAACACATATATTATTATACCACCAGCAGCTGTAACATACCTTATTTATGTAGATTAATGGAATTTATTTCATGCATGTTATCTTGCATAAGTTAATTTTAATGAACTGATGGATCAATTAGTGTTCCCTATTAATAACTAACTGTCTATACACAGACTATATCAAATTATAAAAATAAGCAACTGATGTTAAAATTACACATTAAATATTATGTCAGCAATCTCACTAGTGTGTTTGAAAATAAACCAAGTGATCATTGGGCTGGCTATACCGTAGGTCAATGGAGTGGGATTGCTGGTTGCTGAGGAATCTGGGTTCTAATTTTCCATAAGTTTATACTTTTTCTTTCCACATCATTTTTTAAAATTTAAATAAAGGTGAAATGTTCTTGTTCTGGATTTTGTTATCAAGGTTACAACCCAAATGGGAATTTCGCCTGAGAAAAGAATTCAGGACTGAAGCAACTATCTAGATTAAAAATAAGATCAATAGAATGAAAATGGATAGTGAAAAAAAGTGTTCATAATTATTTATTACTAACCTGGTATGGGCTGAGGTGTTAACACCACTGTGGGAAGAGGTCTTGAGGCAGTAGCTGGCCTAGATATAGCCATAGCTACTTGATTTGTCATTAAAAGAGGCTTCTCATGTCCCTGGAAGATTCTTGATTCCTCAGGATGTATCCATGCTGAATCCAGAGCAAATGCGTTATTTAAATATATCTGCCAAGGATAAATAAAAAGTTTGTTGAAGTTGAAGATAATATAGTTTCATTGCTTATTGTTTTCCTGTTTTTTAGGTCTTTGATTCAAGCTCTCACAGGTATATACATGTTTGTACCATAGATCATGTCCTAAATCATGAACAGTTATAAAACTGGATTGATTTATGCTTCCTAACTATTGGGAGGGCATGGCTATCTAACAAATCTCATAATGGGACTATCCAGTTTAGGAAGTACTACCAATAAATAAATAAATAAAAATCCAAACCCCACAATATGAAAGAACAAGGCCAATCCTACCCCAGAGACAGCTATGGCAGAACAAATGTATCTACAACATTTGGTAGCCCAAGGTTGTTCCAGTGAGGGCTGAGAGATGGAGGAGGTGAAAAAAGATAAGACCATCCTCATATGCTTACTCATATGCTTAAATTTACATACATGCCTAGCTGTTTGCAGGATCAAGGCCTGAGGTTGCAAATACTGCATGAAATCCTGGCTCCACTTAAGTTGATGGCGAAACTCCCATTGACTTCAGCTTTGCTAGGATTCCAGCTGCTGAGTCCATTTCTAACAAATTTATATAAACATGCAGTCGATAGCAAGGTGTTGCAAGTAGCCAAAATATGGAAAATACACCAAAACCGCATATTTTGGTGGTACAAACATATTTTACCTGACTTAATATAGAACTAATGTTAAAGCTATTTTAGTCCTTTTCACTATTTAAGAGAACTGCTGATTTATACCTTCAGAAATAGCCTATTTATTGATCAACTTTTTATAGCATTAATTTTTCTATAGGATTTTTGCTTGACCTAGATTGCTGACCTTCTGCATGCCTTCACAGTTTACAAAACTCAATGTTTTCCAGTTGTTATGATAAGATCTTAATATAAAAATGTCCCAAGTAAAGTTCAGAGTTACCTTGCAATTAGGTAGTCTCTTATCTCTCCAACTTTTCCTGGCATGAGGTGGAATAGTAGATGTGTATACATGTGGGAAGATAGGAACAAATTCCACACTAGAAGAAGGTGAAAATCCTATAACTGGAGAATGAGCTCCAAACATCCACTTAAAAAAAAAATTAAATGAATGAAAAATATTCTACAATAAATCAATCAATGTCTGTACATACTGTATTAAAAAAGTGAATTTCAAGCAAATTTAATGTATCAACCTCTTTAGTCTAAACATTGGGTTTTAAAATATATATATATTGTATCAGTCTCATACGTATTGTGTGCCACTCAAAGCTAAACTGCTATAGAAATCTACAAATAGAAGGCTCAGAGTTAGAGTACCTAGTCAATACTATTACTAATCAGCAATGAACTGGAAAAAAAGTCACATATAAATAGAAAACATCATCATACAAGATTGTGTATGTGTTTCTGTCTCCAGAGGCAATGGACAAAACAAAGACAAGGCAGAATGTGTGATTTCCTGACTCTTGAATTCTTTGGACAAATATATTGATATTGTAGAAACATTTCTACATTTCAATCAAATTCCTCCCACTTCAAAATAATTGATGTTATCCTTCCATTAAACACAAGAGCATATAGCTTTTTCTCCTGCTCACCCTCTTTCCAAATCACTAAGTTCCAAGAGGCATTCACAGCTAAAATGCTTGACTGGGAATTTCTAAATGAAATTAATCTAAGATTATAGAGTTCAAAGCTTTATGTGAAACAGCATTAAAAATACAACAGAAGTGCTAAACTACTATGAAATTAACATAGCTATTAATATCTAATACATTAAAACTTAAGATGAATATTAAAGCTGACCAGCAAAAGTAATTTTAAGTGGTCTTACAATAATTGAAACATTCATCAAAAAGCACCACCGAGATGTATTGCTTACATTAATATGGTTCAAAATATCTTAGCGTCTGAATTTACTGAATTTAATGGCTTATATTGTTAGAGTGCCCCTTCATTACCAGCCTGCTTTTTCCATAGCAAATAGGAAAAGATCAGAGGGTTAAAGGATGAACAAGACAAGCCTTAATGAGCCAATTCATGAGCCGCTCCCCACCCCCTTCTTTTATTAAGAAAAAAATATTGCAGGTTTCTAAACATTAAGGAAAAAAATCTAGTTCCTAGACATTAAATACCTCTAGTGGCAGCATCCTGACACAACAACATAAAAACATGTTGCAACGGCATCCAATTATATATTTTTTTATAATTTATATTATGCATATGGAAAAGCCTTATGGGACATTCACAAATATTATAAAAATAGTACTGTTCAGGTGATCGTTGCCTTCTCTCTTCTAGTAGGGCAATATTAAAAATGGCAAGGCAACTTTGTTTTAAAGCAAGGAGAGACAGGCTTAAGTTACTTGGCTGAATGAAAGACCCTTATATCTTTATCTGTCACTTATTTAAATAGAGTAATAAACGCTATTCCTAGCCTGCTCTTTCGCAGCAAATATAAAAGAAGATGATTTTCTACGGAAAATAAATGTCTCTTCGTGGAACAAATACACTGAAACCGACCAAAGACAGCCTTCAGTTCATTGCTCAGTCCCAGCATTAGGGTTCTCTTTGCAACGCAATCAATGCAATCTCTGCTCTCTCAATCCCCCGTTTTTTACAGTCGAACTCTCGTAAACTGTGTTATACCATTGACCAACTGTATGGCCCAGACACTTACAGAACATTAACTCTTAGCACATTCGAGTCTGACGGCAGGGATTGCGGTTCTATACGATTCTATACGTTAGAAACAAACACGGTATGTGGCTTAAGTACGAAGACACACGCACGGAATCCGATTAATAGTTTATGCGGTCTCCCCCTGCCTTTGAAGTCTGACACAGACGGTGCAGTTACTAACGGATGCGCAATAAACTGTGTGGGTCTGCAACAAACGGGGCTGCGCGGGGTAACTTCAGCACCACCGCGCGTTGGACAGCAGGCAAAAGTTCTGCCCTCGGCTTTCTGCACAGGCAGTCATCACCGCGTCCCCCCCTCCGCCCCAAACCAGCGCCTCACGAGCGTGGCTTTTACTGGCCCCGAAAATGACACGCACGAACTTGCGTGGATCAAGTCGGCTGTGCTATTCTAGCAGCACTTCGGGAGTCAGATACCCGGACCGGGAAAGAGAGAGAGAGGGAGAATGGGGAGGAGGAAGGGAGGCGAGGGGAACCGCATTCATTACCTGCCCATTCAGGAAGGGATACTGGTGCACACCAGGGCGCTGATCTGGCGCAGAGGGCACTGACAGAGGCAAGAAAGGCTCGCAGGGGACTTGCCAGCCAGGAAGCCCCTGGAGCAGTGGAGCAGGGTGGGGAGGATGTGGCGAAGAGAGCAGAAGCGGAGGGGGCACCACCCCGGCCCCACCTATCCTGAAGAGCCCAGCCGCACTCGGGACCATCCAAATCCAGGGAGGAGGTGGGGGCTCTGCATTCATCTGCCAGAGGAGAGGCTGCTGCCGCTTGGCTCTCGGAACCGGGAGCATTCTACATGGTACGGGACCGTCCCTCCGCTCGCAGGGCTCGCCGCCGGGACGCGCAGGGGCAGGCAGCAGGCGGGGCCGGGACCGGGACAGCTCCGCCGAGGGGGCGATGCCCATCCGTGCCCCCGCTCGCTCTGGCGGCTGGAGCAGTGGCGGCGGCGGCAGCACCGGAGCCGAGCGAAACTCCGCTCCATTCAGCGGGGCTGCTGCTGCCAGGCTCCGCCCTCTGCCCAGACCTCCCTCCCCTTCTGCTGATGCATAGCCCGGCAGGAGACACCTACGGGGGGGCAGCAGCTGGTGGCAGGTCTCAGCCAACATCGCCACCAACTCCTTCCCCCCCTGTGATCAGACTGAAGGACGGCCCCGGGCAGCGGGGCAGCCGCTCAGTCGGGGGGGGGGGGAGGAGGAGAGGGAAAGGGGGAGATGTGTAAAGGAGGGGAGCTGGGCTAACAGGCGAGGAGCGGGAGGGGAGAGACCTCCCGAGGGCCCCTGCCTAAGAGGGGTGGAGGGAGAGCCCGCTTCTCTGGCTTGGGAGGCAGCAGCAGGGGGAGAAGGGGCTGGCGGGGAGGCCCGGCTCCCAGCTCTGACAGAAGCCCCCATCCCACACACACAGCTAACCCGGCTGAGGGTGCCCCTAGGGGAGACCGCTGGGCACTCAGTCCTTTCCACCGTCAGCTCCCCAGAGAAGGGGACGCGAGCGGAAAGAGACCCCTGCTCCCAGAAGCTGTCTCCAAGACACCGCTCTCAGGCACTGAGCAAAGGGGCTTTCCACCGTGCCCACCAGAGCACCCTGGCTGATCATCAACCCAGGAAAAGAGTGACAGGTAAAGCTGGTGGAAAGTCAGAATTTCTCTTTCACAGAAATAGCCACGTTTCAAAATGTGTTTTCATTTCATTCCAGAGAAAGAAAAACAACAAAACTTCAAACATCAACATAAGTTCAAGATTTCCGGGGAGGGGGGCATAACAAAAATTGTTGGGGGTCAACGGCAGTGTTTTGTCTCACCCAAATTGAAATGTTTTGTTCTGATTTTGACTTTACATGTTATATTACGTAAGGTTTAAGAAGATTTGGCTGAAATCATTTCAGAACTTGAAAAATGCCATCCTGAAATGGAACATTTTGCCTTTATAAAAAAAATCAAAATTAAATTAAACAAAAAAATTGCCAAATTTCCAAGAAATGGTTTGATGAAACAGCATTTTCCCATTGGAAAACAAAACGGACAAAACAAAACCTTCCACTGGAAAATTTCCAGCTAGCTCTAGTTATAGGTAGTCTGAGTTTGATGCGGGGATTTTCTCACTTAACACCCCTGCTTATAATTTTCTATGCAAGTGCTAAGTTCCTGGGGGACTGGACACTGCTACAAGTCACTGAACATTTTTACCAGCAAATGCCTGATCTTAAAAACTCTTATCCACAGTTACAGATGGAGGCAGTGCACCCAGTGGTTAGGACATTGGATGGGGATTCAGGATTCCTAGGGGTACGTCTACACTTACCGGAGGGTCCAACGGCAGGCAATCGATGTTCTGGGATCGATCCCGGAAGTGCTCGCCGTCGACGCCGGTACTCCAGCTCGGTGAGAGGAGTACGCGGCATCGACGGGGGAGCCTTCCTGCCGCGTCTGGACCCGCGGTAAGTTCGGACTAAGGTACTTCGAATTCAGCTATGTTATTAACGTAGCTGAATTTGTGTACCTTAGTCCGAAGTGGGGGGGTAGTGTGGACCAGGCCTAGGTTTTAGTAGTGGCTCTGCCACTGACCTGCCACAGACACTTAACCTCTTTACCCATTTTCCCTTCTATCCTGTGTCTGTCTATTTAGACTACACACTTTTTGAGACAGGGACTGTCTCTTACTTTGTGTGTGTAGCACCAAGAACAATGGGGCAATATACAACCATAATACAAATCAAATAAAAAAGACACAGCAAACAGCCCAAGAACTAAGTTTTCACTACTAATGTACAGTGCCTTTGAAGAAATTCAGGAAACATTACAATAGAAAGCAAAGATAACCTGGCCCCTAGAGTGTGTCCAAGTTTGGGCTGAGGTACTTTAGATAGCACTGTAGGGAAGGCGCCTGTGTGAAGACAGGTCTTCAGTATCCTAGAGAGGCCCACCTCTTCTAATAAAATGAACGATGGGAAATTTCTCCTTCCTATCAGAAACATGCAGGAAAGAGCTTAGGGCTGGTGAAGATTCCTTCAGATCTTCCATTCCATGAGTCTGAATCTCCCTGCTCCCCTCTCCCTCCATTATCTTCCTTGCAGAAGATATTTAGTCCCCAGAACCCACATACATCAGGGAATTTGTCAAAGGCACAGGACCATCTACACAGGCCCAGAGTCATGGCAGCTCCAGAGCACCCCTGCCTTCCACCTTACCCCTACCTCTTCTGTCCCCTTCTCTACACAAAAGTGAATACAGCCTCATGCTATATTAATGGTTTCATAATTTTTTTCCACTGATGGGAGAATAATGCACGTCCAACTTCCCTTGCTCCCCTAGCCTCAACCTTCAGAAGGCAGAAGTACAATGCAGATGGAGAAGGATGCTGTAAAGGCAATTTAGACCCCATAGAGAGAGAAGGGAAGATCTGAACAGAGAGGGTCCTCTCCATACATAGAAGGGAGAGTGTGGTCCGCCACCCAAATAATGTATATAATCCCATAAAAATCAGGAGCTTCATTTAAAAAAAAAAAAACAACCACCCACAACCACCACCCAGAAGCATTCCAAACTCTCAGCCATGTTCTCTTATATGGGTCTATTTTCCGATCATTAGTACATATATCACCCCCCATGAATATTATTCTCTTCTTCATACAAGTGAGCAGCTCCCACTATAGACAAATGTATCAAGAGTTTAACTGTCAAAGAAATGCACTTTCAGCAGCATGTTCGGTGCACCGCCAACCTCTATTGGCACTATCAGTTAAAAACACCTAAGTGTACTCCCACTATTCTATATCCATGGCCACTAGTTATTCAGACTTATCTGCAATGTTTTTCCAAAGGATAAAGGATGGTTTCTACATTATGCTGCTAACAAAATTATTTGTTGCATATTTTAAAATTGAACCATCAAGATAAACACATGAAAATGTCAGATATTCTGTGGTCACATTTAAAGCTCTGATAATTTAAAGGTGGTGGTGGAGGGTTGATAAATTTTAGTGTGATGATTTAATCGGGGGTTAAGAAAGAGTGAGCGTGAAAGTGTGTATGTGCGTGGAGGGGGAAACCAGAGTTCCTCTTCTTCTGCTAAAAGCAGAGAGGAACATTCTCTCTCTAGTTCTCTCTCCTCCTTGGCTTGGGCAAGCACCTCTCCTCCACAGCACCTCTTCCTCTCTGGTGGGTGCAGTGAAAGCTCCCCTCCTGTTTCCATCTACTTTAATCACTAGATTTTTTGCTGCTCACTCATTTAAGTTAACTGGCTGCTCTTTCCCTGCTAGGCATAAGCTAAGCACATAGTAAGGCTCAGGAAGGTATTTCCCTCCCTTGCCCCCCCCCCCCCCCAGCAGTGTGTAATACACTAGCTTTTTTGTCTCCCTTTAAATATAGACACCAACCACTGCTGGAAGGATACTAAATAGACAAGTGTTCTGACTGGCTAATGTCATCACAGCTTCCAACATCTCTAACCAAATAAATAAAAAATAAATAAATAAATACATTAAAGGAATATATTAAAATGAATTGTACTTGCATTTATACAAATGCATAAAGTCTTGGAAATTTGAAAAAATGTGACTTTAGAAGTCACTGCATGCATTTCCCTGCCAAATGTCCAGTATTGTTCCTATTTTCTTTTTCACACTGACAATCATACGGCAAAGTGCGGAGTAGGAGAAAAGTACCCATTATCACTAATCTTATTTTTGTAGTCGCTTAATTCCCAAAATGTCAAAAAGTAATAATACTATTTAGCTCTTTTTCAACAAATCTTTGCTGTTATCTTAACACAACTAGCAAGAGACATGTTAAGCCTGTACACAAGGAAGTCAGGGATAATAAAAAAATAATTTCTTCTCCCCAACTTCTCCATTTTATTCACTGTGAAAAAGTTTGCTCTCCGAGTCCATAGAATAACCCTGAAGAAGTTTCAATGGCAAATATGAATCAAGAAAAATATTTTCCATATTTTTCTTCGTGTTTGCTTATAATTATATGCTGATAGAGAGGAGTACTGGGAAATACAGATTTGAATAATCTGAATTCTGACAAATAACATTTAATATTTAAATATTTAGTGCCAGCGTTATTTTTTGTACACATACCACTCCACATTTCATATTAACATCCTACATTGAGCCCAGAACCAGAAAAAGCAGTAGACCTAGGAGGTCTGAATCCAGCATTTCAGTCTCTTTCACTCACAAGGTGTTCAGCATTACAGTGAAATAGCAGGTAAAGAGCTTGGTTAGTAGTAAATGTTGTAAAATAGCTGTGATTTTGGGGGGATAGACATTGTCTGTGCATATTTTGTTTTTTTTTAAGAGGCACTCGCTCTTCCTCTTTGTTTGCATCTTTTGGGTTAGTGTAAGATAATTATAAGGTCCTCAAGGTTTCAAGTGATCTTTAATAAAAAAGATAAGTAAATAGAGTTGTGGATAGCACAAGTTATTTTCTCCCATAAACAGCAAAAGTTGAAAAGAACCATAGTTCTCTTTGAACATATTTCTCTCTTATGCTCCGGGGAGAGGTTGTTTCTGCTGAGGATTTTTTCTATTTGAAAAGGATGCTGTTCAACTCCTAATTGTGGTTTTTAATCTCACAGATCCACATTTTTTCTTAAAAATAATCATGAGGGAGTCCAAGATTATCTATAGCAAAATCAGATACTAATCATCAAAAACAATTTTATTATTCAGATGCCAGAGGACACCTACAAATAAACCAAAGTCATAAGGCTAGATATTCCATTGCAGCCAAAATATTTCATTGCAGCTGGGGGACTGGGGCAAGGATTTTCCCACCTTTGTGCT